CTGGGCTACCAAGTGAGCTCCAGGAAAGGCGCAAAGCTACACAGAGAAACCCTGTCTCGAAAAAACCAAAAAAAAAAAAAAAAAAAAAAAAAGAATTTAATTGGGTGCTTGCTTATAATTTTAGAGGGTTAGTCCATGATCATCATGTTGGGAAACAGACAGACATGGCATTGGAGCAGTAGCTGAGAGATTGATATCCTAATCAGAGCCCAGCCCAAGACTCCTAATTCTCCCCCAGTAGTTTCACTAAGTGGATGCCAAGCATTCATACATTTGACTTATTAGTGTAGGGTCTTCTTTTTCTTGTTCACTCTCAGTTTTTGAGATGGAGTCTTGTATTGTATCTCAGGCTGGCCTCAAACTTGTAATCCATCTTTCTCAGTGTAATTGCTAGGATTGTGGGCATGCACTACCATGCCTGGCATTGATGTAATTTTATGTATGGTCTAAATTTAAGTATTTCCATTGTATGTGTTGTAGCCTTTTCTTTCAAACTTTAGGATTAGTTGTTTTCACTGTTGCTCATGAGCAGCCTGCAAAAGGCCAACTATAGTTTTAATGCTTTTGGTTAGAGTGGATCAGAATTAGATTTTAAGAAATCCTAATTTTATAGTATACTATTTACTGGAATGCCATTTATAGAACATAGCTTTCAGGCAGTGAAGTAAGCATAGTTTCTTTTTAAAAGTTTCTAATTGTTTCCCTTAAAGTTAAATAATTAATTAAACTTTAGGCCATTTGTAGTTGCTTTATATATTTATGTATTTTTTCCTTCGTAACTATCTGCATGTTAGATGAGAACACTTTGACCTTCTAAGTGGCACATGCTTGCAGTTTATATTAAATCTCACACTTCAAAATTACCTGAAGCTTTAAAATATGAGATCATAACTGAGGAAAAAGGATTATGCAGTCTAGGCTAGCCTGGGCTACACAGACAAAGTGTGTCTCAAACAAATACACAGGCACATGCACCAGCAAATACCGTTGGCTGATAAGGACCTTAGTTTAGTTGAGCAAGCTTTATGGGTTATCTATAGATTTAAGACTGTGTTGGTGATGTTCTTGCTATAACAACAGCAGAGAAGTGTAAACTATTAGCCAAATCAGATGACACATAAATATTATCATTTGAAGTAGGCAAATAATAAGTTTTGAGGTGTGGGCATCCACAAAGTAGAATGGCAAATCAAGATAGGAAGTTATTCTCTTTCTCTTGTAGGAGCTCAGAAGCTTTCATAGAATAGATAGGCTTTGGGTAGAACTTAATTTATTGCTTTCATTCATTCTAGACTGTTTTCTGAAGAGTGATGTCTATTTCCTTGAGCTCTTTAATTTTCTTGCCAATTTGGATAAACGTGGCAGAAATCCAGCAGGGAGGTCCAGATGAAAAAGAAAAGACTACAGCATTGAAAGGTACATACTTCAATGACTTTTCCCAGCAAATTTCACTGTGCACAGTGAAAATGTAGAAATACTTAGGTCCTGTGTTCATTTCAGCTGTAAAGTAAGAATGTCAGTGCCTAAGCTATTTGCAAGTACTTATATTGCTTACAACAACCATTACAATGCCTGCGATAAATTATAGAGTCAAGATTTCACAGATATAAGACTTCTTAATGCTCTTCCTGCTTAAGGTCATCATTTAATAGCAAAACAAACACTTTCAAGACTTATCAATCAAGATCAGTATCTTTACCATATCTTGCCAAGTGGAGTGTTAAATAATCTGGCCTTCCTGTCTTCTGTTATTATGTTAACTGGGACTGAGGATATTTTGTGCAAGCCATTCCATATTAATACCTCAGAAGGGTTTTTTCTGTGTTGGGGAATTCTGACTTTTAGATGTTTTTTTTTTTTTTCGTGTTTCAATTCTACTGTCTAATATAATTTTATCTCTAGAGGAAGTTTATCACCCAGTTTGTGCTTCTGCCGTTATACTTAAAATTTTAAATGGCTCCCACAGCCCATGTTGCTGTTTTGAAGACTTTGGAGCCTTTAGGAGGCAAGCTCTTCTGGTAAAGAAGGTCACTAAGGATGGTCTTAAGGGCTGTTCCTACTCCTGGTTATGGCATACTCTCTTAGTCCTCTACTCTGCTTCTGTATGAATAGCCCACTCTCATGGTGGACTGGGCCGCTCCTCTGTGCCTTCCTGACTGTGATGGTTGAAATGTCCTAAAACTGTGAGCTCAAGCACTCCTTTCTTCCTGAGGTTTCTGTCAGGTTTTGGTCACAGCAGTAAGTGCAGCTGTCTTGGCCCATCTTTTACAAAGACTGCCTCAGCAGATGTGCAATAAAGTAGCATGTTTTCTAGCTCATTTTCTATCACCTTGATCTTTCCTCTAGAGGTGATGTTCAAGGGAATAGTGGAATTAGTGCTTACCTACAGAAAACAAATTGACCAAGCTGATTGTTGGCTTTGAGTTTTCAGAGAGTCTTCTCAGCCAGAAAGCGGGTGATGGCTTGGATTAGGTTTGTAACAAGGGGATAATAAACAATTCATACACTGATGTTAAGAGATAACATAATTTGCTGCCATATGTAGACATGAAATTATTCATATAGAAATAATATTTAATGTTGTAGTCCTAATTGAGATCGCCTGGGATAATAGTGGAACTAGAAAAGAGAGGTCTAAGGACTTACCCTGGGCAGCTTAACCTTTAGAGTCACCCAGAAGAGGAGCAACTAGTGACAGAGACTAGAAGATCTTACCTAGATGGTTATGTTGGGCTTCCGTCTAAACAGATTGTGTTCCTATCTTCCTTGATGTGAAAATTTGATTCTCAAAGTTGTGGCTTTAAATTATAATCTCCCAGGCAGTATATGAGCACAGGTTGATTTGAGGGGGGAAGTATCATAATGTTAAAGGAGTAGAGGTAGACCATAGAGACAGAACTATCTGGATTCTAATTCAGACTTTCCCTTTTGCCCAACAATAGGAATAACAACCACTCTTATCTTACTCCCAACAATAGGAATAACAATATTTATTATATGTAGGATTATGCAGAGTGATGATAGCTTCATATTGGTGATACAGTTGACCTTAGCACAACATGGTTTTGAACCTCGTTGCCCTATTTAAATGTCAGGTTTTTGGTCTTTGTTTTGTTATTTGAGACAATTTTGAAAATCTTTTCAGAGATTATGTATAATGATAGAAACACATAATTTTTTTTAAAGTTAGGTTTATCATAATTGCACAGAATATATTTTGATAATAATCTACTCTATCATTTACTTCCATTAAATATATCAAAATATGTTATCAAATATTGAAATTTATCAGAATTTATGCACATAAGTACAGGGTGTACATGGTACTAGTTTGTATCAAGAAAAATGTAAACAAATACAGACATGAAATGTTAAATCATGCCATAAAATTAACTATTGTTCCCACTGTACTACCACAAAAGTTTTGTTTCTACTGTACTGTTACCGTTGTGATGAATTCAAGTGTTTCATGTGTCTACTTAAAATGCCATGTAATTTAGCTCATCTCTGTGGTCTGTTGGGTTTCAGTATATTTTGTAAGTTTTTAGGCATGATTCTCAGTGTTTCCTGAATGATTTTCAATGCATATAATACATACAACACAGATAAGATAGTTCACCACCATGGACAGTGGCACACAAGCAGGCCATCCTCCACATTGCCAGCATTTGGAACATGTAGGTCATATAAACAAGATTTGGGGACTAGCAAAATGATTCAGTATAAGAAACCTGTATGCTTTAATAGAAAAGAATGATATTAGCCGGGCGGTGGTGGCGCACGCCTTTAATCCCAGCACTCGGGAGGCAGAGCCAGGAGGATCTCTGTGAGTTCGAGGCCAGCCTGGACTACCAAGTGAGT